TTCCAACCCTAACTGTTCTAGGATTCTATGATTACTGTTAAAAACAATCAGTCAATAGAACACTAATGACAATTAAAGTATCTCTGCTATTTCAACAAAAAAATCTTAGAACTTTGAAAAAAATATATCTATGCCCAAATGAAACAGTGAAGAAGTAAGTATTGTTTTAAGAAAAAAGGTATTTCAATAACCATAGTGTTGGTTTACACTGGAAGTTCTTCCATGACTTTGCATAAGCCCTCCTTTAGTACTCAGATTCTCTACTTTTCAAAGTAAAAAATTTGTCTTAAAAAAACAAAATGAAAAACCAACGACAAAAACCAAAACAAAAAACCCACGTAACAATCTATCTCCTCTCCCTGTCACGTCAGGATTGTTAGTTTTTGTTCTCTTAAACAAGACCAAGCTTGACCTGGCTTACTTACTCTTCATCTGTGCTTATTTTTTATTTCTCTTCATTAACTACTGCAAGCAAATCCTTGCATTTTACTGCAAGAATCCATTATAATATTATCTGAGATCTCTCTTAGTTTAGCCAATTAGAAGCGATTAGATACAAGTAGCACTAGAGCTACGTTGTACCATCACCTACATCATTTCTCCCTTTTCCCCCCGCTCCTGTAGTTACTCACAAATTTATTTGGATCATGCCAAGCTAATAATTTGAAATACAACCAAATAATACCAAAAATTAACTGAGGAGGAAGATTAAGAATGGTGCTGTCCATAAAGACAGACTTACAAACAACTGAATTATGACATTTGGCAAGAACATTCACTATCTGCACACCATCAGCTATCCATGTCTGTTAGCTTGGTGGGGTTCTTTGTTTTTTAAATTAGAATATGCATAAAGTAAGACAGTGTATATGGAAATGAATTTGTTTGGCTTTTTTCTCTATTAAAACATGTAACCAGGTAATTATTACAACTTAGTAAAATGAAAGTTAGAAACCCAAAGGGAAAAAGAGTTATATTACCTCCGATGAGGAAAAAATAAAATGGTTGGAAGACGGTCTGTCATAAATTCCCATGGAAGGTCATTTCGAGTGATATCAATTCTGTTAAGAAAAGACAACACGCTGATTAAGAGAACCGTCAGATGAACAATCTGTATTTTCTTGTAAAACGCCATTTTAGGGGTTGGCAAGAAGGAAATGCAAATCTGTGAAAGGAAGTCCAAATGTCAAAAGAATTGCGCGTATGAGTCAGCAAAATTAATTACTGATATTCAAGAGGATGGATCTCAGTTAAACTAATAGCTGTGGTGGGGAGTTTTCTAGGAAAAATGTGTACAGTATTCCAACTGCTCTCACTCAGCAATTAAACTGCACATCACTCATCATGCACACATCTTCACTGTGTACCCATCTTCCTTCTCTGAAACAGACAGACCTGCCTAATAGTTTCAACATGAAACTGAAGTTTTATCTATTCATTGTTCCTCAACCCCAACTCTATGAATATTTTCCCTTCAAGTAGTTCTGGGAGTAAATTATTTTGCTTCTTCCAAGGACAAGCATATTCTTAAAGGCACAATTTCTTTCTAAAGGAACATAAGATTTTGCGAAGGAAACACTTGTTCAATTACTTGTTATGTTTTTCTCTGCATTTGTTTGATTAAAAATAAAATTCTTATTAATTACAACAATTTTATTACAGAAAAATCATAGGTGATATACATCAGCAATACTACAATAAAAATGATGGAACAAATGAGAGAACTTCAATGTCAGAAAAGAGAATGGGTGTAGGTTTGAGAATAGCATTACACCTGTGGGAATAAAGCTGCAATTATAAACAGGTAATAATGCCAGATTTTTAATTGCATTTTTTCCTTATACATCTCACTCTGCCTTCCAGAGTAAGTTCAGTCAAAAATGAAACAAGGATGCAGTCAGAGCAGATGTTGTAAGTATTGATGTATTATCAAATACATGAACAAGAATGTCTGGGTTGCACTGAAACATTAAAAGCCTTGTCAATGGCGAACAAAGATATGGTGGTTTTTTGTTTATACAAAAATATATTTTAATATATATAATATATAAAAATATAGAGATGCATACAGAGATAGAAATATATTTATATGTCTATATACTGGATTTGGCTGGGATAATTTTCTCCATAGTAGCTTGTATGGTGCCATGTTTTAGGTTTATGATGATGATTATCAGTCTTCCCTGTTTCTCACTCTACCCCCTAGATACCAGTGTGTATCTACAGTGGATACTCCGGGGGCTGGGGACACAACCAGGCAGGTGGCCTGA